ATAGATGAGGATCTGTTAAGTGAGAGAAGGTGAGCCCTTTGACAAAGGCAGGGTTGCAGTCAAACCCAGATCTGAGTCCATAGCCCTCAAACTCACCTCAACTCCCAGCCTTCACCCCCAGCCTCCACCCTCAGCTTCCACCCCTCAAGTTCTACCTCCAGCCTCCATCCTCAGCCTCCACCTCCAAACTCCCCCAGCCTTCACTCCCAGCCTCCACTCTCAGCCTCCTCCCAGCCTCCACCCCAGCCTGCACCCTCAGCCTCCACCTCCAATCTCCCCCAGCCTCCACTCTTAGCCTCTTCCCAGCCTTCACCCCCAGTCTCCACTCTCAGTCTCCACCCAGCCTTCACCCCCAGCCTCTCCCACCCAGACTCCACCCCCAACTTCCCTCCCCTAGCCTCCACTCTCAGCCTCTTCTCTAGGTTCTACCCCCCAAATTTTACCCCCAGGCTTTACCCTCAGATTTACCCCAGCCTCTACCTCAGCCTCAACAAACTCTTTTTTTTGGAGATAGGGTCTCACTGTGTTGCCCAGGCTGGCATGCAGTGGTGTGATCATGGCTCACTGCAGCCCTGACCTCCCCAGGCTCAGGTGATTCTCCCACCTCAGCCTTCTGAATAGCTAGGACTACAGGTGCAGGCCACCATGCCTGGATAATTTTTGTGATTTTTTTGTAGAGGTGGGATTTCGCCATGTTGCCCAGGCTGGTCTTGAACTCCTGAGCTCAAGCAGTCCTTCCGCCTTGGCCTCCCAAAGTGCTGGGATTGTGGGCGTGAGTCACCACGCTAGGCCTCAACAAACTCTTGAGAAGTCCAGTCCTGACCTGTGCTTGTGTACAGGCTGCCACACATATTAGTTCCAAATTTCAAGTTGTGAGAAACGTGTAAGTGACACCAAAGAGGAAAGACACAGGTCTCACCCAGATGTGATGCAGACGGAGGGCAACGTGGAGAACCCATGCCTCACCTCTGCAGCTGCTCTGGTGCAAACTCATGTCCCTCAAAGGCTGCAGAAGTGCTCTGTGTACTGACATGGAGGCTCCCCGACCAGGCTGCTGAGTGGAAAAAGCACGATAAGGAAGAGCGAGTGAGTGCGCTGCAAATATTCACTTGAGAAGGAGAGGGGGGCTGCGCATTGACCCTGCTGGGGGCTGTGTGCAGAGCTTTGCCTGAGGAAGCAGGAGGTGGGGGACAGAAGGGGACAAGGCTTCTGAATCTAGACCTTTAAAATGCGTTTAGACTCCAGAATCATGGAGATGACTTTCCCGTTAAAAATGAGTAAAATTGGCTGGGCGCAGTGGCTCATGCTCGTAATCCCAGAACTTTGGGAGGCTGAGGTGAGTGGATCCCGTGAGGCCAGAAGTCCAAAAGCAGCCTGGCCAACATGGTTAAATCCCGTCTTTACTAAAAATACAAAAATTAGCCAGGCATGGCGGTGGGTGCCTGTAATCACAGCTGCTCAGGAGGCTGAGACAGAAGAATTGCTTGAACACAGGAGATGGAGGCTGCAGTAAGTCATGATCACACCACTGCACTCCGGCCTGGGTGGCAGAGCGAGACTCTGTCTCCAAAAAAAAAAAAAAAAAAATTATTAAAATCATTTGAATCCTTTGTTATCTAATATCCATTTTAGGATAAGCCTGGTCTTTAATTTTTACTGAGTCATAACTGTAGTGGCGGAGCACGCACCCCAGGATTACCACACAAGGGCTTTCCCAGGCACCACCCACCCATGCAGCTGTCCACCCAGACCAGTGCATTTGGCGGCATCCCCAGTGGACACCACTCAGTGACACGCCGCCTTCCACGTGGGACGTGTTTCCCATCTTGATTCTGCCATTGGTGATCAGCCTCACTCTTTTTTTTCTTCTTTCTTTCTTTTCTTTTTTTTCTTCTTGAAGCCGGCAGTCTTCGCTCTGTCGGCCCAGCCTGGAGTTCAGTGGATCTCCGGCTCACTGGCAAGGCTCGGCCTCCCGGGTTCACCCGCATTCTCTTGGCGCTCAATCTTTCACGTAGCTGGGACTTACAGGGCGCCTGCCAGCAATGGCGCCGGTATTTTTTTTTTTTTTTTTTCTTTTTTTCATCTTTAGTAGAGAACAGGATTTCACCGTGTAGCCAGGGAGATGGTCTTGATCTCCTGGACCTCGTGAATCTGCCCTCCTCGGCCCCCCAAAGTGGCGGGATTCACAGGGTGGGAGCCACTGCGCCGGCCACCAGCCTTCACTGTTTCTTGACTTGGATGGTTAGGGCAGGGTTTATGGGAATGCTCCCTTCTTTCTCAAGCAGAACGAGCGGTCCATCCACACTGTTGCTTCTAGCGTGGGACAGAGATTTTACAACTTTACTTTAGGGGACCTCTCTTTACTACTTGGCTACTTTAACATTTCCCATTCCATGAAACTTCTAAGGAAACACATTTTTAAAAAATTCACCTGGAAGGCCAGTGGTTACTGCCTGTACTCCCAGCATTTTGGGGATGCTGAGCGCAGGGCTGGTCAACTTGAGGTCAGGGAGTTCGAGGACCAGCCTGGCCAACATAGCAAAACCCCGTCCTTTACTAAAACTCACAAAAACTTAGCTGGCTTGTGATGTGCTGCCTATAAATCCCAGCTACTTGGGGACTTGAGGCGGAGATCGCTTGGAAATCCGGGAGGCAGAGGTTGCAGTTGAGGTGACCGGTCTCATTGCCATTGCACTTCAGCCTGAGTGACGATGTGATATTTCCTGTTAAAAAAAAAAAAAATGACATCCCTGTGTCGGAACAATATTAGAGGCTTTTCATTCGTGCATCCTTACAATATCAAAGATAATATTATAAATAATGTTAAGAATGCCCGCTGCTGTCATGAAGGTATGTATATTTTAATTGGCATTTCAAAGGAAATGAATTTACCCCAGATGAACCCCTAACCTGGAGAACAGGGCCACGAAGCCAAACCACACCGAGAAAGAAAGCAAAAAGCTTGTGTGCCCAGAAGTGTGCGGAGCGCATGGGAAGCGCAGGCATGGTCCACCCTAGAGACTCAGACCTGAGAAGCAGCCGTCTTCTACTTACTGGAGCACCGGACTGTGATGCCTGGCACTGTCAGGTCCTCCGGACGCGCAGCGGCAGACAAGTTGGTCACTTTGGACAGGTGAACTGCTGAGCTGCTGCTTATCAGTAGCAGGGAGGTCACAATTGAGAATGGCCAGTCCCCTGTAGGTCTTGTCCGACCCTGCGAGGGTTTTCAGCTCGCACGCCGCCCGCAGTTCACTGTTGTCTTCCTTGGCCTATAAAACTTGCCTTCTGCTCCTCTTTCTGCGCTCCAAGACAAGATGCTCCGGCGCGAAACGTTGTCCCAACAGAGTGTCAGTCAGGCTCCTCAGAGACACGGAACCAATCGAGGATCACTATCTACTTTCTTTCACTATCTCTCTGTCCTCTATCCACTCCCCATCTATCCATCCATGTATCCATGTATCTATCTTTCTACCCATCTATCATCTATTATCTTCTATCTATTCATCAGTCTTCTTCTTTTCTTTCTTTATTTCTTTTTTTTTTTTTGAGATGGGGTCTTGTTCTGTTGCCCAGGCTGGAGTGCAGTGGCATGATCTCGGCTCACTGCAAGCTCCGCCTCTCGGATTCACGCCGTTCTCCTGCCTCAGCCTCCCAAGTAGCTGGCACTACAGGCACCTGCCACCACACCTGGTTAATTTTTTGTATTTTTAGTAGAGATGGGGTTTCATCGTGTTAACCAGGATGGTCTCAATCTCCTGACCTCATGATCCACCTGCCTTGGCCTCCCAAAGTGCTGGGATTACAGGCATGAGCCACCGCGCCCGGCCCTATCTTTCTATCTATATATGTATCCATGTATCCACCTATCTATCCATCATCCATCTATCCATCTATTTGTCTATGTATCTATGATCTATCTATCTTCTATCTATCCATCTATCATCTATTATCTATCTTCTATCTATCCATCTATCATCTATCTATTTATACATTTCTATCTATCCATCCATCAGTCTATCCATCCATCTATCATCTATCCGTCAATCTATCCATCTCTTTATCCATTCGTCAATCAAACTACCCATCAATCTATCCAACCATTTCTATCTATCTATCTATCTATCTATCTATCTATCTATCTGTCTGTCTGTCTGTCTGTCTATCTATCTATCTATCTATCTGTCTGTCTGTCTATCTATCTATCTATCTTTTTGTCTCTTCCTGCCTATCTATTCATAATCCATTATCTATCTCTCCATCCATCCGTCTACCCATCCATCCATCAGTCTATCTATTCATCTATCTGTCATCCATCCATTTATCTATATATCAATCAATCTATCCATCCTTTTCTCTTTCTTTCTACCTACCCATCCATCATCTATCTATTATCAATCATCTATCTACCTATCCATCAGCCACCATCTGTCATCCATTAATTTCTCTTTCTCCCTCCCTTTTTATCTATCTCTATCTTACTCTGTTATTTTTATCTGTCTCTTATGAAAGGAAAAGAAATCTTGGGTCCCCCAAATTACTAAGCTAAAAGGGAAAGTCAAGCTGGGAACTGCTTCAGGCAAACTTGCCTCTCATTCTATTCAAAGTCACCCCTCTGCCCACTGAGATAAATGCGTATCTGACTGCCTTCTTTGGAAAGGCTGATCAGAGACTCAAAAGAATGCAACCACTGGTCTCTCATCTGCCTGTTACCTGGAAGCCCCCTCCCACTGCCTTTCCGGACCGAACCAATGTTTATCTTACATATATGGATTGATGTCTCATGTCTCCCTAAAATGTATAAAACCAAGCTGTGCCCCGACCACCTTGGGCACATGTCGTCAGGACCTCCTGAGGCTGTCACGGGCGCATCCTCAACCTGGGCAAAATAAACTTTCTAAATTAACTGAGACCTGTCCCGGATATTTGGGGTTTACACTCTGTAGGATATATACAAATCTATATGTAAATATACATTTATTTGTTTATTCATTTATTTAAAGGAATTGGCTGATGTGATTGTGGAGGTCAGCAAGTCCAAAATCTTCGAGATGTGCCGGCAGGCTGGTGATCCGGGGAAGAGTTGCTGTCGTACCTGAACTCTGAGAGCCGTCTGCTGGCAGAATTCTCTCTTCCTCGGAGGAGGTCAGTCTTTTTCTCTTAAGACTTCCAACTGATTGGGTGAAGGCCACCCAGATTGTGGAGGGTAACTTGCTTTTCTGAAAACCTACTGATTTAAATGCTCGTCTTATCTAAAAAAATACCTTCACAGCAACATCTAGACGTGTTTGACTAAACATCTGGGTACCGTGGCCCAGCCAAGTTGGCACCTCAGATTAAGATGAACCACCACAGTGGTCCTCTCTCCCAGAGCTTTGCACAGCACTCTGCGAAGCCCCAGAGATCCTACAAAGGGCCATGAGAAGGGTGGGGCGGGGGCTGGGGGGAGACCCTGGGCCACTCGACCCTATAATCAAGGGCACTTCTGGTCCCTAAGCAGCCTGCCCATCGCTTGCTCAAACCCAGCCCTCGTGTTAGGGGAAGCCCAGGATGGCTGTGCTGCTCACCTGGGCTCTGCAGTCTTGCCTAGCCCAGCCCTCATCCCACATCCCACATCTGGGGCTCCAGCTTCCTGGCTGCTGCACGGTTAGTGTCACAGCCTCATACTTTCAGAAGCTGCCTCATGCTTCAGGGCCTTGCCTGCCTGCCAGGCCTCCCTCTCCAACCCACTTCCTTCTTGCTCGAGCAGATCCTGAAGGCCTGGGCTGTCTGTGCCTCGGGCTCCCCTGGGCCTTGAGAGGGGTCTCCCCCAGGCCATGCGGCCCAGCCCCGTGCATGCCTTGCCTGCTCATCTCAGTGTGGGATCCTCCTGTGCCACGCTCCTCCAGGGCCCTCCTGCCTCGCCCTGGGCCACGTGCAAGATGAAAGCTGCTTGCTTAAGCCACCCAGGGAAGCTGGTGGATCCCCCTTGTGCTGACTGCTGGGTTCCCACAGGCCCCGTCCCAGCCTAGAGAGGATGGGAATGGTGAGAACAGACCCCAATGCTGGAGACTCAGGGCGACAGAGTACAGCGCTCGCATTTGCATCAGAGATACCACTTTATACAAAGTGTGTGTGTTAGCATTGCCCCAAACAAAGAGCACACGGTGGAAGGCACCTGGCTTTCTTGGAAACAGGCGCTGCATCGAGTGAGGACTTTACAGGGAAACTTCTACTGAGGTTTTATACATCTACATCTACAGCTGTCTACACCTGTGTCTATACACGGGCACATATGTGTACATCTGTCTACACCCATGTCCACATCTGTGTCTTTCTATATCTATATCAACGTCTATACCTACATCTGTCTACACCAACATCTACATCTACAGCTGTCTACACCTATGTCCGTGTCTATATCTGATGTCTGTATCTACAGCTGTCTACATCTACATCTACATCTACAGCTGTCTATACCTACATCTGTATCTGTACTTATAATGTCTGTCTGTTTATATCTGCATCTATGTCTATCATCGATATCTGTAATGTCTGTCATTGAGATCTATATAATGTCGATTGATATCTATCTCTATAGCTAATGTACATATCTATATGTACATCTAACTACGTCTACATCTGTAATATCTTTCTACATCTGTATCTCTCTACATCTATATCCTTATATGTTTCCATAGTAAACACAGCCAGAAAGAGATTGTGACCAGCCCTTAGATCTCTGCGTATCCCTGGCTGACCACCCCCCCACCTTGGGCTGACCCCCCCCAATCATGGACTGACTGCACCCCCCATCCCGGGCTGATGGCATCCCTCATGCCAAGCTGACCTCCCCCACCATCCCGAGCTGGCCTCCTCCCCAGTCCTGGGCTGACCACCCCCATCCCTGGCTGATTCCCCCGGCCCCCTCAGCTGACCTTCCCCTCTCATCTTGGGCTGACCACCTCCCCGATCCCAGGCTGACCGACCCCCACCATCCTGGGCTGACCACGTCCGCATCCCAGCTGACCATCCTCTAACTTCTAACACCAGGGCCAAGGGGAGCTCTGCCCTCAAGCAGTCTGTGGGAGGCTCTCACAGCTGGCGCCTGGGCTGGGCCGTTCTCACTAGCACTGCTGCAAGCGTCTTCTGAATTGCTGTGTGTAGCAGCATCCCATTCGTTCCCACTGTGGGATCTGTCACTGTACAGCTGCACACAGCACAGCTGGCCCCTTCATGTCCCGGGGATGGGTGTGGGGTGATTTCTGGTCTGGGTGCTAATACGTGGTGCTGTCTAGGCATTCTGATACCTGTTTGGATGGACACGCACCTTTGGGTCAGCGGGGGTGCAGGCAGGGGTGGAGGTGCCAGGCCACAGAGCACACGGATGCCCTGCTTTACTAGAGCATGTTGCCTTCAATGTTCCTGGCACCCCGAGATGCGATTCAGATGATTACTGGGTTTTTACAAATGAGGAGCCTGAGGCTCAGATGGGTGAAATGATTGGCCCAAGTCCGCTCTCAGAAGTTGAGGAGTTGGGTTTGAGCACAGGAAGTCTGATTCCAGATGCAGACAGTGAACTTTTAACCACCTCGCTACCCTGGGACAGACACGTTGGCCCCAGTTAAAGGTGAGGCCCGGGTCACTCCTGCTCTGAAAGCCTTGATCTGGGTCTTAAAGTCACAGCTTCCTCTCACGAAGGGGGTCAGTCTCTGAGGACACAGTCCTTTTGTAGGAGAAAAAAATATATATTTTTAGCACACCCATGATCAAATCTTGGCTCAGCAACTTAGTAGCTGTGTGACCTTGGGCAACTTAATGCAGGGAGATAACTGCAGATAAACCACACACTGCAAAGCTGAATGCAGGGACGCCTTCTGATATTCTAGTCAAATCCCTGCAGAAATAAAACTTTGCTTTTAATTAAGGAAAAGTTCCTGAACTATAGGAAGCAAGAACATATTTCTCATCCCTTTCTTTGTATGTATTTGGGAAGACTTTTCCTGTAAGAGCTGGAGATGAACGTTGTATTTCTGCAAACCCTATTACTCTGGGGTGGGGCACGTGATGGCAACCCGCCATTCCCTGTAGGACACTGGGCATGTGATCCTCAGGGCTCAGAGCAGATCAGTCTCTGTTGCCCTGAATGAAAAATCAGTCCAAATATCATTCTCTCCCTCTCTCTTTTGCTTAACTATGTGCAACATCTCTATCATGTCAGATTGGAAGTTACCAGAGGGTTTTGTATGGATTATGAGGAGGTGAAAAGCAAAAACAAAAAACCCATGGACATTTGGGGATTGTGGACTCACATGGCGTTTAACTGCTTTCTTTGCTGCAGAGCTTTTCAGAACCTTTAAGAAACTAATCCGCATCAGGAGTTGACATGTGGCGGATATCACAGGCAGCATTTACTAATTCAAGCAGGGGATTCTGTTTTCTGTTTTGTTTGTGGATTGTATTCGTTAGGATGCAAGTCTGGCATCTTGACAAAGACTCAGGTTAACAGTGACTTGAACCAGACAGACAGTTCTGTTTTTCTCACGGAAGCATCTGGATGCCAGTGGCCCAGGGCTGATGGGGTCTTCTCTACCAGCTAATCCACAGACCTAGGCTCCTGCCTCTCCCAGGTGTTAGCCTTGTTGATGTGGGTGATGATGATGACTCATCATCACCACATTTGTGCTCCTGCCAGCAGGAAAGGGCTAAGGGGGGTGGGACCTAGCCAGCTTTCTTGGCCTCCTGTCCATTTACACCCCACAGCCCTTCCCTTTTAAGGATATTTCCCAGGAGTTGGACCCGTCACTTCCCATTGGCCAGAATCCAATCACATGACACACCTAGCTGCAAAGGATGCTGGGGGATGTAGTTTTTGCTGGGCAGTCATGTGCCCAGCTAAAGTCAAGTGCTGTAACACAGACCACAGCAGGGGAAACAGACTTTAGAGGAAAACTAGCAATCTCTGCTCTGTGGGGTTGGTAGGTCATGGAACACAGTTTAGGAAATGGTATTCTGAGTGTATATAAACCAGATATGCTAAGGACACTGGTGGGAAGAGAGGTGCCAAGCATCACTTGCTGAGAATTGGAAAGACAACTTAGGACATAAGGTTCTTTAAGACGAATCAGAAATGCATAATTGTGCTCTCAAAGGAAGTGAAGATTAGTGGTTGCCCAGGGCTGAGAGTGGGATGGCGAGTGTGACTGCTAACGGGCATGAGGTTTATTTTATGGTGATGGAAATGTTCTAAAAATAGACTGTGGCGCTGGCTGTGCAACTCTGTAAGTATACTAACATTCATTGAATTGTATGCCTCAAATGAGTACATTTCATGCTGCTTAATTATATCTCAATACATCTGTTAAAAAAATTAAAAAGGATTTGCTTACAGTTATAATAAATCTAAAGGACAAATCTTATTATAGACAGATTTTTAAAATGTGTGCATCTATTTGGGGATATTTGAAGCATCTTGACAATCCACCAATTTCACTGTGTTTAGAACGACCCCTCCCTGCCTTATCCCCAGCAAAACAGCTTGTCTGCGGAGCAGAGGTTGGCACTCTCTCTCTGTAAACAGCCCAATAGCAAACATTTTCAGCTGTGGAGTCATAGGATCTCTGTTGGGACTATTCAATTCTGCTGTTTTAAGCAGCCATAGACAACAAGCGAGCCTGGCTGTGTGCAGACAAAAATGTATTCTGGATGCTGAAATGTAAATTTCATGTACTCTATACATGTCATGAAATAAAATTTCTGTTTTGATTTTATCGCAATAATTTAGATCTGTGAAAAACATTCTTAGCTTGTGTGGTATGCCACAGCAGGTTTGCAGACACTGCTCCGTGGGTGTGCCTGCACATGGAGGTGCTCTGCCTTCTTTACGCCCAAAGTGCAGCTAGGAAAACACTCATCAAAGGAGCCAAACCTGTACCAATTTGACTTTCTGCATCCTGTGTCTGGGCTGCACCAGAAGCTCTGTCAGCAGTTGGGGCTGGGCTCAGCTGGCTGACTCTTCAGCTCTGTGTGGGATCAACTGGGATCACTCAGTGATGTCAAGCTGATAGCTGGGCTGGGTTGGAGGGTCTGGGGCAGTATCTCTCACAAGCCGGGAGTCCTGGCCTCAGCTGGCCTCTGCCCCCACATAGTCTCAATGTCTCTCCAGC